CCTCTTTCAAGGGGAAACCCGCTCTAGGGAATCCCGGCATCCACTCTGAGCACACGCCCTCGGGCTGCGGGCTCGCTGCACTCTGACGGAGGTGAGCGGTGGCGACTAACCCTGAGTCTTCGTCTTGGCCTTCCTTTGCCCTGTCCTGAGGAGAAGCAGAGGTTGGCAAGGGCACCACCATTGCCCATTGTGGGATCCCAAGACACAGCCCTTCTCAGTAACCCCGAGGAAGGAGGTCGAGTACAACCTCGTGTGCAAGGTGTCGCTGCAGCGAGGACTGTGCTCCACTGGGAGTGCCTCGCTGTCACCCGCTGCGTTATGGGGAGGGAGAGGACCGTGCATGGTCTGCAGGGATCGTTTCTGGCCTCGGCGGTGGAGTATCTCTGGGCTGGGCCACTGAAAATCTTTCCCTTTCCCACAGTCCATCTTCCACCAGTGGTTTGCTCATCACCACACTCCCAGGCCACGTGACTCGGGTCTCACGTGATGTCCTTTCCGCGCAGATAGATACAGTGTGCGGGTGGGCGCCTGAGTGCTGGGTGCTGAGAGAAGGGGGTTCTCGAGCCTTCACTCATTAAGAATGCTAAGCTTGGTGAGGGAGGGTTCCCTTCCTGACCTAAGCACGAGTGATGCTGCAGCTTGTTTTCAGATCGTTGGCCTCCGGTTTTGTTTGCTTGTTTTTTTTTTTTTAATTTCTTTTTCATTTAATACTTTATTTATTATTATTTTCATTTGACGAGAGAGAGCGAAAGCAAGAAAGCAAGCTGCCAGGTCTGAGACTTGAACCATGGTTAGCCATGTGGGAATCCAGCACCCTTAGCCACTACGCCACCTGCTGCCCCAGGCCTCTCGGTTGTTTTAACCTGGATTTTAACTCAGGTCTGCTGCCTCGATGCGGAAACTGCTGTCAACTGTTTCGTTGCATGTTTTTTGGCTGTTAAGTCATGTGGTGTGTTTGCTTCATTCGGAGTTCCCCTAGACCAGGGCCTGAGCGGAAGCCAGGGCTGCCCGCGGCCGCAGATGAGGACAGTCCTGTGCTCTTTCGCTGACGGCATGAGCTCCGCTTCCAGTCACTTCCTGGCCTGCGTGTGCCCAGAAGCCTGGAGGCGACGGTGGCTTTGAATGGCGGGCTGGCCCCGCGTTTGGCAGGTGGTGCGGGGATAGCTGCGGCAGCTCAGCCCGTCACGTGGTGTGTGTGTTTAGTAAGTGCTTTGTGTTTCCAGGGGAAACCCTCTAGGGAATCCCCAGGCATCTGCCGTGAGCAGCCATCGCCTGCCACTTCCACAGAAAGCCCCGGGATTCAGGCGGGGCTCTGCCCTGGCCCATCCCTGCTGCACATTTGTCTCCAGCCCCTCAGTTGCTGCACACAGTGCTCCGTGCCCTCCTGTCCCCATTTGGGGTTCCACGTGCTCCTGAAGGCAGAATCCCCGGCCCCCCTGCAGGACTGCATGTGCTGAAGGTTCACGTTTGAGTTAACCCACGCCCAGAGGGAGCGTTGAGAGGCCTCTTGTGTTTGATGCGACTCCTTGGGTCGCTTACTGCATAGCCAGCATCGCCTGAGGACTAGTGTACCACCAGGAAAAAAGGACACACGTCCCCAAAGGCTTGACTGAGGAAATGTGAGCCACAGAGCACTGTTGGCACATGGCCGAGGGCTCTGAGAAGTGGAAGCCCACGGGAAAACCCTTTCCTGGAAGCTGGCAGATGGAGAAGTGTGCTCTGTGTTCAAGCAGGCATGGGGATGATGTTGGGGGTGAGGTCCGTGAAAGCCCGGGCTGGTTTCCCCCTCAGCCAGGACTAAGTGTGTTCTTTGGCACGGGGGAGAAGTGATCCTTGGGACCAAACAACTCCTCAGGTGTCCTGTTTGCCGAATTCATGGCATCACCCCACCACCTGTGCTGTCCGTAGCCCCTGCCTTCGCGGCAAACACTGAGGTTGCAGGATCTTTTTTCTCCACTTTTTCTCAGAGTTTTCTAACTCATGGCTTCCCAAATTAAATGTTCAAGGAACACTGGTATCTTGGGAATCAGAAACAACCATTTTGTGAATTAAATGAGGATGTGTCTCTTTTCAAATTGCAGCAGGGAGGTAATTTAATATGTAGTATTTTCTCCCACAAGTTTTTCTTACACTTTTGCTGTTAGCTAATACCTCTTTGAACAGACAGGTAAACGATGACCAGTGTAAAACTGAATAGCTGATATTGCGTGAGGGTGTCAGCTCATGTGTTGTGGGCCCATTATTCCGAGTTTGTTCAGATGAAGACACTGAATGCACTTCTGTATTTTGTGGTGTTTGTTCAGGTGCTGTGAAGTAAGAGAGCTATCAAACCCCAATCCTTCATCCAGCAGTTTTAATGGGGACTCCCTTCCCCCAACCCTTCCCCCTCCATCTCTGTAGTCACTGCAGAGAACCTGAGGGGTCTATAAGCGCATGAGCGTCTCCCAGGTCTGCCCAGTTGTAGACGCATGTGCGTGAGCATCTGGATTAATCCCAAATCCAAGTTTGCTCTATCGAAGTGACTGGTGGCCATGGGAAGCAGGGAATAAGAACTGAAGTTAGCAACATTTTTTTTTTTGGTCTTCATAAAGGGTAAGATAAGCCCATTCTCTGTATTTTTTAGGAGGCATTTTCCCAGGCAGATCTCGGGCTCTGTAATTGCCCCCTGCCCTTCGCTTTCTTAGACTGTGTGACAATTTTGAAATGAATAAAATAGCCATCTTTTACATACCTTTGACAGAAATATTTTGATTTCCTGTTAACCATTGTGGGTGGGATTGGGGGTGACATCCATGACGAAGGTGTTTAGTTGAAACTGAAGTGACAGTTGACATTTAGGAATATGAATCCGTTATCTGCCATCACCTGGTAAGTGGGGAATACGACTTCTCTGCCGTTTTGCTCTGTAATGTTACTTTCCATAGAAGGAAGGTTTACACTGAGAAAACACGTTGCCAGGAATTGAGCCAGTGCCCCGTCACCCAGCACACCATCTGTCTTATCAGCAGGACTCAGAACTGAGTGTTCTGGGCTCCCACACAGAGTGGTTTGGTCTCGAGGAGCTCAGGGCCGCAGCCCGCAGTGGTCTTGCTTGTCCCAATGCTGGGTGTTGAGTAGCCACCATGGGCCCTTGCCGGGAAGGTGGTGCCCTCGGGAACACTCCGGAGCTTCCTGTAGTCCGCCTCCTGAAAGCTGTCCTTGCAAACTAGTCCGAAGCCTGCTTTGCTCAGGTTCCTGAGGATTCACACTGGAGGGCGTCCCGCTCCCCCACCCATCTCCTTCTCTGTTTTAAACAGGCTAACCGGCCTCCTGCGAAGCTCAACCTGTTAACCTGCCAGGTGAAGACCAACCCCGAGGAGAAGAAGTGCTTCGACCTCATTTCACGTAAGGTCCTTTCTGAGCCGCTGGGCCGTCCACTATTTTTGTCCTTTGCAAATCGTGTAATTTGAAGAATTGGTTTCAGGGCCAGCAGGTGGCTTGGTGGTTGAGGCGGCTAGGCTCCCGCATGGCTAACCGTGGTGCCGAGTCCCAGACCTGGTAGCTTGCTTTCTCACTTTCCTGTCTCTGTCTCTTTCTGGTCAACTTCAATAAAATCAAATGATGACAATGAATAAAATTAAACAATTCTTTAAAAAAAAAAAAAAAAAAGAAAGAAAGAATTGGTTTTGAGGGCCAGCGCATGGCGTGGTGGTGAAGGCAGCTGGATCCGATATGGCCAGCTGCCTGGTGTAAGTCCTGGTCCTGGCAGTGAGAAGCGTGCTGACTGTGTGTGCATGCGTGCCTAAAATCCCGAAAGGAGGGAGAGGAGGAGGAGAAGGGGTTGCAGCTGACACGCTCCTTCGGAGGCTCTTTCTCTGTCTCACTCTCCCTTGCACTCTGTCTCTCTCCAAGGCGTGCATGTGCCCTCTAACAGATACAGACATTTAGTTTTTGAAGAGAAATGCCCTTTTGTGGTGGGACGCGCCGTGTGTGCTTTCCCTTCCAGCAGCACGCCGGGCTCCGAGGTCTCCCAGGTCTCCCCACTTGAAGACTCGCCTTTGCGGATGGGCCCTGCTCCTCACAGCTGTAAACCAGAGACACCCTCTCCGCCTTCTGAGCCTCCGCTTTCCTTTCTGTAAACAAAGAGATCATACTAGATAAGCCCCAAATCCCTTCAGTTTAAAATAAAAAAGGACACCACTTCTCCAAAACTGGCGTAAGACGGCCGACGTCAGAGCCCATCAGACGTCGTTCTGGGGAGCGGTCACCCAAACGACAGGGCCTTCAGCGGGGCCCTGCCACTTGGGTTTTTGAAATGGTTTCATTCCCCCACCACAGAATTAGCCATTTTGCTTCTGTCTGCTTTTCTTTCTCGCGGTGTACACAGAGGAGTCACCGCGGAGCCATCTGCTGTGGGGAACGTTTACTTGGCACCATCTGACGAAGAGGGCTCGCGATGTCGTAAAGAAAACATGGCGAACCCTGTGCTTGGGGTTCAGTGCGCCAGGGCTGCAGTCGGGTGGAGGGAGGGTGGTCACCAGGCCCTTGGGCACCGGAGTCGCGTTCCAGAGGACAGCGCTAGGCCATGCCTGCAGGGAGATGGCGCCAACCTCCGTGCCCGGGCCCTGAGTGCGAGGTGGCTATGTTGCCACGTGCCTTCTGCAGCTTATGCTGTCGGGGCCTGGGGACTTGCTGGGCGCTAGACCTGGCAGTTTGAGAAACGCGCTGGTCGTGTGTGCACGCGTGCCTAAAATCCCAAAAGGAAGGAGGGATGGAGGAGGCGCTGCAGCTTGACATGCTCCTTGGCGGTAGCCTTGCTGTGGAGTCCGCCTTGAGAGCCCTTGGCCGTGCAGCGTGCTCTCGGGAGGGGAGCGTGAGGGTCCTGATGTCCCGCTGGGCCTTAGGTAGGGCTGAGCAGTGCGACGTGGGGAAGGGGCATAGGGGTTGTTTGTTCCATTCTTCAGACTCCAGACTGATCTGTGAAATGAAAGTTGGCTTCATCCTGCTTCAGACACCCCCGCCCCTCGGAAGGGTTCGTGTGGGACACAGTGGGTTGTCCCCTGTCATCTGAGCTCGCTCTCGATCCTGCACTCATTCAAGATGTCATAAATAGCTGAGGATGGACTGCAGTCTAAATGTCACCATTCCTGGGGTACCTGCCTCTAGACGGCGGAAGAGTTGAGTTAAAAAGAGAAAGCTTAGGCTGGTCCCATAGCCTAGTGGTCAAGGCAGTGGCTCCCACATGGCCGTCTGCTGTTTGAATCCAGGCTTCAGTCACTTGGAGAACATGCCAGGCATGTGCACGGCGCGTGTGTGTGCCCCACATCCCAGCGGGATGGAGAAATGAGGGGATGGGGCATGACCACGCCTGTGGAGGCACATTTTCTTTTCTCTCTCCCTGCCCGTGTCTCTCCCTGGTGAGCACATGCTTTCTCTGGCATTTGGGGGTGGGCGAGAAAATGGTGTGATCCGATGCCCACCAGGGGCCGGGGGAGACGCAGAGGGCTACTCGGATAATAACCCGTAACGAGTAGTGAGTAGCCTTGTGACGGTGCCCTGTGGCACGGAGCAGCGTGCAACAGCTGAGCTAGGGGAGCTCCAGCAAGGCTTTGAGGGCAGCCTGGCCAGACACCGCAAGTGCAGAAGCCTAACCCAGCTATGCAGCGTAGCAACACATGGGGCGCCGGGGAGGGTCAGCGGAGAGTGAGCACGCCCAACTCCCTACCCCGCGTGGATTCTGACACCCCTCGGGCCTGTGGTGTGTGGAAATCTGGTCCACACTGCTCTGTAGAGGATCCCGTTTCCCAGACCCAGCAGTGCGTGCTGCAGCCTGGCTCTCAGTGCCTGTCCTCTGAGGGGCATCCAGCCTGGGGTCAAAGGGCTCACCGCACCCAGGTGGAGGTGCGCCCGTCCGATGCCAGCCCTCTTTGCCCCTGTTTGTTCACCAGTGGGTAAAACAATCCCGGTCCCGCGCGTTTTCTTCTCAGCTGGCTCTCAGCAGGCGCCCCCTTGGAGCATGGGAGGTCCCGATGCTTTGACGGGGCTGTGTAGGTTCGGCCCATCGTGGAAACTGTTGAAAGCTGCCAGGCACCCGAGAGCCACCGAGGGAAAGGGCGCCCGTGCTAAACCCTGGTCTGAGGAGCTTTCTGGGAAGGTGAAGTCTGTGGGGGTGGGACCTCAGTCTCCTGGCTCAGGAGAGGCTGTTAGTTTTTTTTTTTCCATGTTTTGTCATAGCGTGTGTGTGCTCACGGGAAAGGAGAGAGATTCTGAGAGAGGGAAAGTGAGAAATCCCCCCGAGGGATGGCCACACCACAGTCCTGCCTCCTCCCTTCTCTAGATTTTGGGCACACACGCACATGTGCCCGGCATGATTTTCAAGGCACTGAGTCTGAGATCGGAACTGTGGTGGGATATGGGAGTCAAGCACCCTAACCACTACACCACCTGCTGCCCCCAGGAGCAGCTGTTCTTACCTGCCCAAGTCTCTTCTTCCTCTGACCAAGCCCGGGGGACATGTGTTGCTGAGATGCCTTTGAACTCTGAGGGCATCGGGTGGTTGGGGAAGGCAAAGGCGAGCCCGTGGTGGGCAGGAAGGGTGACGTTCCAGCTGTGGCCTCCCAGGCACCCCAAGGGTCTCCCTTCCTCCAGGCCTTGCGTTGGACAGCCCCCTTGGAGTCCACCCAGAGAGCCAGAGATCTGACCTGGCAAGTTCCTTCCTGCAAGGTCCTCCTTGACCCTCCTTTCCCCTAAACAGAGACGGCCCATTCTATGGGAGACACTCGTGGGCATCCGCTCCTCCAAGAGGAGGTTCGGGGGGCAGCGTGAGTGCTGGCCTCTGGGAGCTTGTCCAGTCTCTTGCTCTCAGACTGACCCCACCTATCGCAGAGTCTGTCCTGAGCGCTTGTCCTTGTTCACACAGGCGCCCAGGTGGGGCGGAAGGTGGTCCGCGTCAGTCCCTGAGTAGCGTGGGGCCCAGAGGGCATTGGCAGCTCTCCAGACCCACTGGCAGGTCTAGCCCAGGGGAGCCGGAGCCTTGGCTGCAGTGGAAGGCACCTCTGGAAGTCGTGTTGCTCATTTTAGGGGCACAGATGTTGTGTATCCGTAGAATTAGTCGCTGCTTATCACCACTCTGCCCTCTGCAGAAGTTGGACTTTTTCCCCTTCTGCCTATTTTAAAATTTAATTCCTTGGGGCCAACAGGGCACAGTGGTTAAGGAACTGAACTCCCACATGGTTAACCCCAGTCAGGCCCCCTACCCAGTGGTTTGGAACTCATGCCAGGCACATGTGCATGCATGATGAAAATCCCAAGAAGAGAAGGGATTGCAGTGTGGCCATCCCCCCGGGGCGTGATTTTTTTCACTTTCTGTCTCTCTCTCCAGCAAGCACATGTGCTCTCTGGCAAAAAATCTCTGAAAAAATCAAATTTAATTCCTCTTCTACTCTGTTTTTGTACTGGTTGTAGACAGAATTTCTATGCACCCCAACTTCCCCACAGATTAACATCTTAGTCCAGTATCCGATAGTACTCGGCGTCTGTCACTGACCCCGTGCACAATTACTGCAACCAGGAAGTGCATCCAGTTTGTCACTTCTCACGAGAAACTTCCACAGGTTCGCCAGCGTCTCCTCTCGTGTCCCCTTTCTGCTCCAGAATCGTGTCCAAGCTCGGACACTGCGTCTCTAGATGTCACTGTATCTTCATCTTCTGCAGAACTGTGACACGTCTGGGGCCTCCCTTGTCTTTCCTGGCCTTGATACTTCCGGAAGAGAGTCGAGGAGCTACTTAGTCAGGCATCTCTCTATCTGGATGCTCCAGTGTCTTTCCACGAGACCCGAGGTCGTGTTTCTGGCAGTAACAGCACAGAAGCGAGGCTGGCATGTCAGGTGCCCTCCTCATCACGACCTCGGGGCAGCAGCCTGGTGGGACTGCCACCTGATGTGAGCGGGGCTTTTCTATGAGGACATTATTCCGTAATATCCTGTTGCTTTAGCTGAGCATGTTACATGCTTAAGAATTTCTCACACTAATCTTTCTCTAGAAGGCCAGAAAACTTCCAAGGTATTCTCTTTAGAAGTGGCTTTTATTATTCAAAGGGCTTTCACAATTACTGTTCAGGGGTCCACTCTATAATGAATTTTAACAAAATAGTTTTTTTTTTCTTTTTCTTTTTCTTTTTTTTTTTGGAGAGGTTTTTGCTATAGGGCGCGTGCGCTCGCCAGACAGACAGAGAGAGACAGAGAGATAGAAAGCGAGAAATCACTCCCCAGAGGGGATGGCCACGCTGCAATCCCTTCTCCTCCATTCTCCTCTCGGGATCTTGGGCATGCACACACACGCGCCCGGCATGAGTTTAAGCCGCCGGGTCCAGGACTTGAACCACGGTTGACTACGTGGGAGTCCAGCAACATAGCCATTACACTAACTGCTGGTCCCCAAAATAGAGCTTTTGAGACCAGTGATGGGTTTTTTTTTTGGAGAGATTTTTGCTATAGGGCGTGTGCGCTTGCCAGACAGACAGAGAGAAACAGAGAGACAGAAAGAGAGAAATC